ATTTGAAATTAATTAATTTTTGTTTAAATGCCTGAAACAGGCAACACTATAATCAGAATGACACCAGATCAGGTATTACAAAAAAAAAAAAAAAAAATCTGTACTTATGTTTCATATATTACACAAAAGCATTTGATAAAGTACAACACGACTTTGAAAGATACTTGAAGTACAAGAATAGCTTGATTTATAGCGGAAAAAGTATTCAAGTAACCCGGGACTATTACTCCACGCGGATAGATATACGTCAGTAAATACACAAACATTAAGGAGGAAGAACAAAGATGTTTTTTTTTTTCACCGGATTTCTTTAATCTATGAAGAGAGATAATCCTAAGAGAATTAAAAGTCTTACCAGGATTTATTATCAGTTGACATCTTAACAAACGTAAGGTATGGGTGGGGCAGTGTGTTAATGACATAATCAGCAGCAAAACTGTACGAACGCCTAGTTAAGTTAGTAATGGACTGTAAGAAAAAAAATTAATTCCAAAAAGAAAGATTGCATGTTTGTCAGCAAAAGAAACTGCAAAATCAGGGCACAGGAATTCAATTATATAAGAAACTCAAGACAGAAAATGTAAAAAACCAGTAGTTCACTAGAACTGCGAAAGATGCCTTCCAGAAACTGGGGATTAAGAGACAGGAAAAGGAGAGTTTAAAAAGAAAAAAAATAGTGAAAAAGAGTACTGAATTGCTACGCAATATCTCATTTTCTAATATGGCAGTTAATAGTAGAAATATTTCTTCATAGAAACGTGTAGCTTAAAGGAAAAATAGGGATTTCAAGAAAATGTATACTTACAATCATAACGAAACAGTTGTAATTCCTAGTATGCATAAAGAGGAAGGAGAACCTGAATAATTTGACACTCACAGAACATTGAAGGCAATGAAAAACAAGGGGAAACGGAGGGTAACATACTTAAGATTGTGTGACTGAATGGAGGAACAAAGATACAGCGGGATAGTAATGAATCAAAAGTTACTTACACTAACAAATGGCAAAAAGTTATAGGGTGCTATGATCCCTCACATCCTGAAGGGAGATTGCTCATAAAACAAAAGCTTAGTTTTGGCTTAGAACATGTGTTAATAATGAAATCGTTCCAATGTACTTTAAAATGGTTACGCCGATTACGTTCAGTATTCGGTACTATACCATTGTGCAAATTAATTATACAGGAAGATGTGGAGGGCCATGATCACCTACACCCTTGTGCAAATTAATTGAAACAAAACGAATAATTCCGTTATTATTTACTTTTTTTTTACTTATTTTTCCAATGAAACATGACCCAGTGCACATGTTAGTACTTCGTATGTCCATTCCATGAAGTCGTTCCTTGCAGACTGAACACAGATTCTCGATTGGATTTAAACCAGGGGATTTTCCGGGTTAGTCTATAATACTTTGATTTGCTCACTGCTCATTGTATTCGTGCAGCGTTACAATTTTCGTACGCTTCTTTGGAGTAACGTCCATCGCAGACAATGGCCGTAGGACAACTAATCGAAAGTCGAGACAATAGTGTCTGGGCATGATAAAAATCTGATGCAATTACGGATGACGTAATATTTTTCAAGGCCAAACAAATTTCATCATACACCCTCAAAATAGATTCATATGACTGCACACCACTGCAAATGACCTAATCTGAGGTAGAAACAGAAATCGATTACACCCTGTCATCCCAGTTGCTAGCCGTATGGTAAAGAAAGGAAACTAAAGCGGTTGTTTCAATTAATTTGCACAAAGGTGTATATAGGAATTGTGAAGGGAACGCTATTTTTGTAAACTCTGGATTTTTTTGTCTTGCGTGAAGTTTATGCCCAGGGAAGGCTTGCTATATTACGCATATAATTTTGCTACTGAAAGTTAATTGTTACTCTTAACCGAAACGATAAACTCCTATCCACTAATGATAATTCCTAAGTTGAGTACAACACAAAGCTAAATGAAATCAAGAAGATTTTGCTACGGCAATATCCAGGTTGTAAAATAGCAGGGTAGACTTGACTTTCAAACATTGGTTGGCAGCTAGACAAGGAGAAAGACAATTTATAATTTTAAAAAATGTGAAGAACATAACAGGAAATTATTCCACTATCTTACTCAAGTGGTTATGTCAATTTAAGGATAATAAAGAAAAGGAAGCTGTGGAGAAACTTGATCGGCCCGAAGGAATTAAAAAATATACTTGTGCAAGAGTAGCATAATTGTTTGATTTATTTTTCCACTGGCGCCAGTGGGCGGTATTTGTTCATTTTAAAAATCTGAAATTTTAGATGTTAGTTTCTATAAGTAAATTCTCGCCTCGCTCGGAAGACTGGAGTAAAACACAATCGTTTACCTGCCATTATAAGCTGAGTAAATATTTGAAGAAGAAATATTTACATAGGCGACATAAATAAACCTGTCTATGTTTAAATGTTCAGCGAAAATGTGGTAATAATTTGTATGAAATAGATATTTTCAGAATATTTTCTACAGTTATTTACATCGTAATTGTTCTGATGAATTTTCCTCTCAGGTAATGCGACTTTACGATTTGAGGCTCAGCACGAGAATTGAAAGCTAAGTATCATAATTTTCGGTTGAAAGTATTAGTCACAACCGTAAGTTCTATGCGAACAGTTTTTTCTTACACACTTCTCACTTGCTAAAATCTCTTTCGGCTTTTTACTTTCCAGTCATCTCGGCTTCAATTACTTTCCCACCAGCGTAAACATAGCTGTAGTTTTATTTCTGCCGTCACTTTGTATCGTTTAATTTCCCTCTTCTCCCCTGTTAGGTGTCCAGAGATGTTAGTTCTCTGGTGGATGCAGTACGCTTTTCGTATTTTGAGGGTGATTTTTGTATTTGTTGATGGGCTTGAATGAGGTGTGCATTTGAATGAGTGATTAGACGAATGAATGTTTTAAATTACTTAAGTCCTGCATTAATTTGGCTCAATTAACTGGCATTTATGACACAATTAAGGCTTGAGTCTTTTTTTATTATTATTACTAACTCTATTTTGTTTAGTTTGTAAATACACATTAGGATTAGATTTTTTTAAATATTTGTTTTTTATTCCTCATAGACAAAAATTGTACATATGGGGACTATCTGTCTATATCTCTGAGATGAGGTATTATGGTTACTTGGATTATTTACATTACACAGACTGTTATCCTGATCTTCATTGCCATATTCAGGACATTTTTACCGGTGTACGCTCCGGCCTTCTTCACGTGATTGGAATTTCTAACCGAACCCTTTATTTCGTCCACCGGGGTAGATTGTTCTAGTTCCACGTCCACAAGAACACATGGCCCAGTGGATAAAGACGTTGGTTAGATCCAGTGAGTAGACCCAAAGATTTATGAGTTCAATACCAGCGGTGAACCAAAAACTCGGAGTGTTGAGTTAAAGGGAAATAACTGAGATATCCGGAAGAGACATGGCACGTGGAACTAGAACAATCTACCTCGGTGGACGAAATAAAGGGTTTGGTTAGAAATTCCAATCCCCTGAAAAAGGCTGGGACGTACAACGGCCGAAACATTGTGAATATGGCAATGAAGATGAGGATCACAATCCGAATAATGTAAATAATGCAAGTAATATAAGGATTAGTTAGGACTTCATAGAGAGGTATTATGGTGGATGTAGTATGAATAGTAAGTGAGAATTTGTTGTTTTGTCGCAAGGAATACAGTGGTATGTTTTTTTTTAGTAATTGTGGCGAGCTAAGTTTAATTATGACAGATGAAGACCAGCCTCCCCATTCCCTTGTGCCATATTTTTGTATAAAAACAAAACAAATATTACTTTCCTCTCTGGTACCTAAATTTTATGAATATTAGCGCAGTACTAGATTGGCAGCTAGGTTTCATCAATTTTACCGTTGAAATGGCTAGATGTAACCGTAATTTCTATGCTAAGAGTTTATTTCCTGGCATTTCTCTCGTCCTGGGTATGACGATAAACTACATCCGACAGCAAGGATTCTGATCAGGAGGTTTTGAAGAGCGTGGAACCAACTCTTAATTGCTGGTGTTCTCAGGCCCACTCTGACCCCGAGTGGTGGCACTTGTCCCAGCTATTGGCAAATAGTTAACCTCCAAAAAGGAGTCAAAACACTATGAAAGTATAAAAAATATTTTTTGAAAAAATTATTGCGTGTAATACATTTTTGGAAAAAAAAATTACTACGAGCAATAAAAAACTTGTCGGCATAAATAACCTATTGAGATTGATAAGCCGTAACCCCCCCCCCCAAAAAAAACAACCCAAACCAAACCTGGCTCTTCTCGCCTGTGAAATTCACTCCCGGCTTCTTGTTTACTGGTCAACTTTGATCTTGAAAGATTTTAATGCAATGTCAATCGTTATCTTCTGTTTTTTTTTTAATTCCTATTCTTTTATTGTTACCTTTCCATAATAATACTTTTCTTTTTTCTCCTACTCAATAACCCTTTTCGTCTTAGTGGCTTTATTACCTTGCATTGGTTGAAATGATTAAACAAAAAGAAACAGAACTTTCCGAGTCAATGACGTTTTATAGATTCAGTAGATGAGTTTGCTGGTCAGGTCGAATGAGAGAACGAGAGAAAGAAAGTGAGAGGAAAATAAATAGAATAAGAGAGAGAGAGAGAGAGAGAGAGAGAGAGAGTGTGTGAGAGAGAGAGAGAGAGAGTGGGGGTCTGTGAAACGAAATTTGGCATTCTGGTTATAAGGTAAGAATCAAGTTCAGTCCGAAGCACAAAAGAGTTGCGCCATTTTGGTATAGATGGTCAAAGTCTGTAATATAGGAAGACGTTTCAAAATCGATACGCCAGATTAACTATTAATGGACTCAATCAATCATGTATTCATTCGATTTTCTTACTTTCTTCATTTGCCAAATCATCTTCTTTATTTCGTCTTCCTGTACCTTCATGATTTCTTTTCAGATTTTTGAATAACACTTCCTTTCTTCCCTAAATTCTTCCTGTCCCTCATTTTCCTATCAATGCTGCTCTTTTTCCTTCTCGTCTTCTACAATGGAAACCACTTACATTCTTTCTTTCTTTCTTTCTTTCTTTCTTTCTTTCTTACCTCGTTTACGTTCCATCACTTATTCAGTCATTCTTTCTTAATTTTCGGTTTCTGTTTCTTTCTTACATCAGTTTCATTCTTTCTTCCTTGTTTTCTTTCTTTTCGTTTCCTCTTTCTTTCTTGTCACGTTTTCTGTCTTTTTTTTTCCTTTTTCGCTTTCTATTTCTTTCTAACCTCGTTTTCGTTTCATCATTCATTCATTCAGTCTATCTTTCTTTTCAATTACTATTTCTTTGTTACCTCGTTTTCGCTTTTCCTTCCTCACTTTCTTTTTTTCTTTCATTTCGCTTGCTATTTCTTTCTTACCTCGTTTTCGTTCGTTCTTTCTTTCTTCCCTAATTTTCGCTTCATGCTTCTTTCTTATCACGTTTTCATTCATTCATCCATTCATTCTTTCTTTCTTCCATTCTTTTCGCTTCCTATTTCTTTGTTACCACACTTCTGTTTCATCTTTCTTTCTTTCTTTCTTCTCTCGTTATTGCCCCCTCTTTCTTTCTTTCTTTCTTTCTTTCTTTCTTTCTTTCTTTCTTTCTTTCTTTCTTCTCTCGCCTCTTTCTTTCTTTCTTTCCTCTCGCCTCTTTCTTTCTTTCTTTCTTTCTTTCTTTCTTTCTTTCTTTTCACTTCCTATTTCTTTGTTACCGCACTTCTGATTCATCTTTCTTTCTTTCTTTCTTTCTTTCTTTCTTTCTTTCTTTCTTTCTTTCTTTGTTCTCTCGTTATTGCCTCCTCTTTCTTTCTTTCTTTCTTTCTTTCTTTCTTTCTTTCTTTCTTTCTTTCTTTCTTTCTTTCTTTCTTTCTTTCTTTCTTTCTTTCTTTGTTCTCTCTTTCCTTTTTCTTTCTTTCTTTTTTCTTTCTTTCTTTCGTTCTTTCTCCTCTTTCTTTCTTTCTTTCTTTATTCTCTCGTTATTGTCTCCTCTTTCTTTCTTTCTTTCTTTCTTTCTTTCTTTCTTTCTTTATTTATTTTTCTCGTTCTTGTCGCTGTTCTTCTTTATTTCTTCTATCGTCCGTACTCTGTTGCGAAAAGGGTTCCCAAGTTTCCAAAGAGAAGCATCATTGCTAAACTTAACGAGTCCACCCTCTTCTAGGCTTGTAAAATCCAGCCCCATTTGCAAGGAGCTCAAGGTTATCGTATCCTTCTTCTCTCGTACCATTTCTACCCGACCCTCTTCAGCTCGCACTCCACAGAGCAAGGTCCACAGAAGTCCCTCCCACAGTCTCTGTATTTCGTGTCTGGAAGCAAATCTCTCTGGTAACTATTTTTGGCGACAGTAGCAGGAAAAGAGATCGCAAAGGCAATGTCCGTTCCATCCTGAACTTGACGAATAAAGATTGCAATCTGAAGAAAAACTATGGGAAGAAGGAATAATCGAATAAATGAATAGATTAATGAATAGAGGAATAAAGGAATAGGCTAATAATTGGATGGTGAGGGGAGAAAGAAGGATGTCTGTTTGGAAAAAAAAAAGATTTAGAGGAAACGAGATAGGAAACACGAAGATCGTGATCAGAAAGTAGGCGACATTTTTTCTCTGTAATTAATGACACTGAAGAGGGAAAGAAAGCATGCTGGGATTGAGTGAGAGAATTAGAATTAGAATGTTGACGAGGATAGCAATAAAAAAGAAGATTGCGAAAGCAAGAGAAAGGAAATAAAAAAAAGAAAAAGTAAAGATAATAAATGGAAAGATAAAGATGGAGGAGGAACAGGATAGATAGATAGATAGATAGATAGATAGATAGATAGATACTGAGAAGAACTGAGACATGAGATATGAACCAACTCAAAAGCTATAGATCTTAACATGTAATGTTTCGTAAGGTTTTCTCGCCGACTACTCTATATTACGTTCGATCCTAATTCACTACCTTACACTTGTGATTTCGTGTGAAACTAAAATTACCTAGGAGGGTGAGCCGGTAGTGTAACAGTTAACGACAACTAAAGTAGAATCGACGAGTGGAGTTCAATTCGCATTCTAGTATGTTGCAGTCACTTTCGCACTAATGCCCTTGAAAAAAAAAGCATGAATTTGCTCTCCTATTAGCAATGGTTTAAATAGATTGTGAACTAGTTAGTCTAGGAAAAGTACGACTCTAAATACAAAACCATCGAGAAGGCTTTGATAATAAATGAAAATAATGTGTGAAGAGACATTGCTTCACCGTCGAGCAATGATTAAGAAGAAGGTCAGGCCGACCATTTTTACTTCAGTGGCCTTGTGCCGCACATTAAGTAAGTTTAGTAAGTCTCAATATAACAGAAGTGGGAAGAAGAAGAAAAATTGCAAAGAAGAACGGTGTTTTAGGATACATAAAGCGAGAGAAGAAGAAGAAGGAGGAGAAAAAGAAGAAGAAGAAGAATTAGAAGAAGATGATGATGATAGATAGATAGATAGATAGATAGATAGATAGATAGATAGATAGATAGATAGAAAGAAAGAAACTGAGGGAGAGACACAATGAAATAGGTAGAAAGAAAAAGAATCTGAAAAAGAGACAAACTGGAACAGAAAGAAAGAAAGAAAGAAAAAAGAAAGAAAGAAAGAAAGAAAGAAAGAAAGAAAAATAAAAATAAAATAGATACATAAAAGGAGAGAGAGCGTGTGAGGAGGAGAAAAGAGACGATATAGACGGAAAGAGGTAGTAGGCGGAGAAGGTACAGAAGGAATAGTGTGACGAAAAGAAAGAGAAAAAACAGGATAGAAGAGTTAATAGAAGACAGAGAAAAGATATAGTAAAGCGGTTAGCATGAGGAAACGAGAGAGAAGATACAAGAAGGAAAGATTAATAGGACACGAAAAAAATGATAGAGAAAGGTAGGGAGAGTAGGAGGAGAATAAAATTGTGAAGGTAAAGAGAGGCTTAGTAGGAGGAGAAAAATAGACAATTTCGTGAGAGTGTTTCGAAGAAAAATTAAAATGGAGCTGATTCCAAATAAGGTGTAAAAGGGCAATTCGTGACGAACTTGAATAGTATCCGTGGGCGTATGTATGCATCTTTAAATATTTTACTACATTTCATATTATTAGTGTCATCGTGTTTTATCGATATATAAAATAAATACTTATTGGAATCTAAGCTTTATTTGGTGAATGATGGCGACATCTCTGTGCGCAGTTATGACGAAATCCGGTTCATTCTGCGCGGACGTAAACAGATGGCAGCCATTTGTATGAAATGTCCTTAATTCCGAAGTCTCAAATGAATAGCTACGTTTGAAGCTTTTAAAATGTGCTTGTAAGGTTGATTTGACGAATGACGAGAAATGTTTTGTATCTTTAGAGCTTCAAAATGATAAAACATAATTAGAAATTGCAAAAATGATAAATAGTTATCTGGAAAGAAGTTTGTTGATGACCTCAGACTACTTGGACCTGATAAGTTTACGACTTTACCTTGTCCATTTGTATGCCTTATCGAGCAATGTTATAAAAATCCGTCTTTGTGAAGTAATGGAATTTTAAGGCATTTTTTAGCAAAGAAATATCGACAGTTCAAGATGTGCGATACAGTATCAAGTGGCCAAGAAAAAAAAAAAAAAAAGGAAAAGAAAATCGAAGGAAACGTGTAAGACCGATTTTCTAAGCGTTCGTTTTACCGGTAAACGCCATGATTGTCTGGATGAGTCAAGCTGATGGCGCAAATGGATGACTAGTGGCAGAAATCGCTTGCCCAGGGTTGAGAAGTCAAAAAACCAAATGTTGCGGTGACTCGTTGGAATGAGATTAGTAGTAGTGAAGTTTTCTTCTTTTATATGCCGTGTAGAAGTATTTAGGATGTGCCACACTTTTTCCTAAATGACCACTGTTTCGAGGTTAGCAAGATTATCATGAAATTCCAATTGTAAGTACTAAGAATCGCCTTTTCCATGACTTTGTTTGGATGTATTTTTTTTTATTTTGTTTCGAACCTGAAAATTTAAATTTTCCACATGTGCGCGCACGCACGCACACACAAACACACACACACATATATATATATATATGTATTTATGTATGTATGTATGTATGTATAGGATTGGTGTTGTTAAGTTTTTGAATTCTCATATATCTGTATTTTGATTGGTCATTGCAACTTATGCAACATGGTTTCCCCTATCGAGGGATGTTTGGTCGATTTGAACCTTTTAAAACCCTTTGTTTTACATTCAACAACAACACTTGATAAGACACCAGAAATGTTGAAACAAAATGTTTTTTTGATTTTATAACATATTTATGTTATAATTTTCGAATAAATTGTATATATATATATATAGAGAGAGTTTGTCTGACGATCGCTAAAGCGTGAAACCCAGGGTCACAAACTCACATCTATCCAACCAAATATGTTAGCTCTATCTCTGATATTGAGCACTTTCTAATAAGTACCGCGCATATAATATATAAATAATTATACATATATATATATTTATTTATATTTATATATACTTTTCATATATATATATATATATATATATATATATATATATATATATATATATATATATATCATGTAGTCTGGTTTATTTCGGAATTTTGGTAACTAGTGTGACTAATATAATTGCTCGATAAAAGCCAAGAAGATGAAGAGGTTTTTTTTGTCTTTTATTTTATTTGAATCGCAAAGTCGCCATTTTGAAGAGTTTAAAAGAGGGTTGGTCCCCCAAAGTATGTCATTGAAGTCCACTTCCTCCACTACGTGACTTCGTCTTTGTTTGCACCCACTCCCATCTCCCTAACCAATCCAACCCGGCACATTTGGTTCATGAAATTGAGACGGATTTAGAGTATGCCAAACTTTTCCCTAAATGACCAATGCTTCGAGGTTAGCAAGTTTAACATGACATTTTTATTGTAATAAGAATTCCTTTTACATGGCGTCATTTTGGATGTATTTTTTAGGTTAATGATAAATTTAAATTCTCCGCATGTGCGCGCGAACGAACACACACACACACACACACACATATATATATATATATATATCGTGCGTAGTCTGGTTTATCTCGGGTTTTTGTTAATTAGTGTGGCTCTGATGTAATTCCTCGATAATCGCGTATTGTTTTAATAGTGGGCTATGGAACTTAATGGATACTTAATCATTTTATTCTATTCTCCCACCTTACTGTGAAACACAAAACCTTTTACCCGCAAACAGATTGAGGGGACCCTCTCTCTTTTATATAGTGGTAGAATCTCCGACTGACGCAAATTCAACCGGGTTTCGATCCTTGTTAAAAGCAACCGGACGTCTAGCCACACTGAAGAGCTGTGATATATATATATATATATATATATATATATATATATATATATATATATATATATATATATATATATATATAATTTTATGTTGGGTACAAATTCCACAGTCTGAATATCGGTGACTAAACCGGTTATCCCTTTCCAATTTCTTGCGAGTGAGGCGGCTTGTCAGCGATCCAGTAGGACGAAAAATATGACCTAACAAAGGGCGAATGAATTCCTGATGAGTGAACAGCCAGCTAATCATCATGGGAGACCTGAACAGCAAAGTAGGCAAGGAGAGGGCAGGGGAGAATCCGTAACGAACAAGGAGAAAAATTGATTTAATGGTTCATTGACAATGACCAGCCCATTTTTCCAAGAACATCCGAGACGATTAGAAACATGGATGAGCCCAAGAGGAGAAACTAAATACCAAATTGAGTACATAGCTATCAAGAAAAGATTCAGCAATGTAATGTTTCACTTCAAAACCTACCCAAGTGCTGACTGCGAAAGCAATCATCGCCCCTGTTTTATGTCAACTAAGAGTGAAAGAACGGAAACTGAAGAAACCTAATGCAGCACTCAAATTGCAATACAAGAAACTTCTGGGTGACCCGGACCTGAAGGAAAAATATATGGACAGCGGGAAAAGAAGATACGTGGGACATAATAGAAATGGAAACTCGAAATGGAACGTGTCACCATCTATCTAAGTCGTGTCACCATCTATCTATCTATGCGTTTCATATCTATCTATTTTAAGACCTTTTTATGTTTATATACATTCTTATTATAGATACAAATATTTAAGTAAATGCTCAGTTTATAATAAACAGTATTAATGACATTTACCGGCCTGAATGTCCGAGAAATTTTCATAAAAAATATTCGTCCTCCGACAGGAATCGAACATGTATCCTATACGGAACCGTCATATAGCCTGACGTGCCTTAACCGATTGAGCCATAGAGGATCATTTGATTAGCAAGGTGGATTTTACTGGTTTTAAACTACAATCTTCCACGAATCTCTCACGTACATTCATATCTGCTCAAAGCGTATCCAGATGTTAACAAATGACGTCACACATTATGAAATGTACAAAGACCGACAATTATTTTAAGACATTTTTATGTTTATACATTCTTTTTTTTTATAGATACAAATATTTAAGCAAATGCTCAGTTTATAATAAACAGTATTAAACAACATTTACCGGCCTGAATGTCCGAGAAATTTTCATAGAAAATATTCGTCCTATATCATATACAGAACCCTCATATAGCCTGACGTGCCTTTACCGATTGGGCCACAGAGTAGCGTTCGGTTAGCATGGTCGAATTTACTGTATTTAAACACAATTCTCCATGATTTTCTCTCATACATTCATATCTGCTCAATGCGTATCCAAATGTAAACAAATGACGTCACACATTATGAAATGGACAAAGTCCGACAATTATTTTTTAAGACATTTTTTAGGTTTATACTTTGTCAATTTCATAATCTGTGACGTCATTTGTTTACATTCCTTCCTATCTATCTATCTATCTATCTATCTATCTATCTATCTATCTATTTCAGTCTGTATCTATCTCAGCATCTATCTATCTATCTATCTATCTATCTATCTATCTATCTATCTCAGCCATTTCATTTCATTTCTAATATATTTTCAGTCTTCTGTTAAATACTTTTAAAATATATGAAATTCTGTACTTGATTGATTCTATTTTCTTTTTAATTTGTTGGGTAGTTCTTTCTTTACGCTTTCCTTCAGTCTAATATTAGAGCTATTATGACCAGAAAATCCTTGTAAACAATATATCTAGCTATATCAGTTGCGTATTGAATAATCGTCTAGAACAGCCGAAAATATAATATTACAATATATTAAACAAGGTTGTTTAAGAAATCAAGTTTATAGGTGGGATCTTAAATGGACACATTTGTCATGCAGTACATGGGGATTAGTACCTTGGCTTCAGTAAAAGTTATGATGACGTGGCTTTATCAATGGAACGTGTATAAAGCGATCGGTATGTATTCAAAGAATAACATTCTTGTCCAGGTCTGTTTGTTCTGTCTTTCGAGTGTCAAGCTGTTTAATATGCGTCCAATGGCGCTCTACCATAACATTGCTCATGCTAGTAAAATGAAATGCGATAAAGAGGGTTGATTCTTGTTGGACTCAGACGCGTACAGAAAACAAAACTTTATCATTTGTTCGACCATTTTTTTTTTCGTTCTTCATTCTTCATGAGAAGACTGCATAGATGGTCTCAGATATAACCCAGAATTTTATTTCTGAAATCCTGTCAGTAAACGAGAAAATAAATGACAAAAAGGGTAAGCAACAATAAGCTACTTAGCAAATATTTGACGTTGCGTCTGGCAGTTTTATGTCCAATAAAATGCATCATATTAGAATACTTGCACTGTACATTATCTACCTATTTAATTCTGTTCGTATCTATCTATCTATCTATCTATCGAATTCTGTTCGTATCTATCTATCTATCTATCTATCTATCTATCTATCTATCTATCTATGTTCGTATCTATCTGATTCTGCTCGTATCTATCTATCTATCTATCTATCTATCTATCTATCTATCTATCTATCTGATTTTGTTCGTATATATCTATCTGATTCTGCTCGTATCTATCTATCTATCTATCTATCTATCTATCTATCTATCTGATTTTTGCTCGTATATCTATCTATCTATCTATCTATCTATCTATCTATCTATCTATCTATCTATCTATTTTGCTCGTATCTATCTATCTATCTATCTATCTATCTGATTGATTTTGCTTCTATCTATCTATCTATCTATCTATCTATCTATCTATCTATCTATCTATCTGATTGATTTTGCTTCTATCTATCTATCTATCTATCTATCTATCTATCTATCTATCTATCTATCTATCTATCTAATCAGACGTTTCATATCTATTTATCTGTCTCATCCATTTTATTTCATTTCTATTTATATATATATATATATATATATATATATATATATATATATATATATATATGAACCGACTATGCACGACCCGATACGGACGATAACATTACCAGATTACCGCGGAGATTTGCTGTCATTTGCCCAAAGCTACGAAAATATGAACGCGAATGCCTGTGACAACGATGGCCACAACAAGGAGAAGAATAATTGCAATCATTTAAAAATGGTGGGAAAAACAGATCAACGAAATGATTGAGAAGACAAATAGCGAAATGTAGAAAATGTATGTAATTAAAAAAAAGAAAAGAAAAAAAAAACACCTGTAGCAGAAAACTAAATCGCAAAGTTGTTTAGACGGTGTGGTTTACGACAAAACTTGATCAAAATAAAAATAGATAAAACCATATATATAATTAGAAGATCGATGAAATTGATGAAAACGTAAGTCATAAATACACTTCTCACTTAACGACCGGATGAAGCTCCAACGACCTCCTTTCTAGACGAGTTGGTCGCTAAATGAAAATTTGTACTTTTCTGCGCTTGACAATGTTTCCCGCCAGAATCTCTCTTAATCTTAATCTTAAGAATATTGCTGTCACATCTGGGTTAGTGCTTCATTTATATATCTAGATGTTCTTGGTAAAATCAAAACAAGAATCTGCAATGTTATCGACCCTGACCTGGTATCTCGGCTTCAGTCAAGTTCCTTCCGCTGTGCAGCAGCTTCCCTGTATCTTTTCTACAAATACTTTCATAGTTTTTTTTTTCTCATGAGCTTTCCTCTTTGGTACTTCAACTTCACGAATTTAAGCGCAGTACTAGATCGGCAGTTAGGTCTCATAATGTCACTGCTGAAATTGCTAGATGTAACAATAAGTTATATTCTAACAGTTTCTTCTGTCGCACTTCTCGCTTGTGGAACTCTCTTCCGGTTTCTTGTTTTCCTGTCAACGATGATTTTCCAAAAAATTAAATACGACGTCGATCGTTATATTTCGCCTTTTTGAAACCAGTTCTTTTATTGTCATTTCTCATCAATTACATTTTCTTAGTTTCTTTCACTCTCAGTAACCCGATGCGTCTTAGAGGCTTTATCACCTTGCAAACAAAGACAAAGAAACATGTATTTTGTTGGTATCTGTACAATACCTATTAGAATTATTTCATTTATTTTTTAATGTTATTTTTTAATGTTATTTTTTGTTTTATGAGATTTTCTAACTTGTCGTAAGTTCGGGGTTATTAAACAGGTAAGTTGTTAAATAAGTAATGAATACATTATAAACAAGCGCTCTGAATTAGCGTGTTTATTAGAAGGCAATTCTGGTTGATAATATACATATGGTAGGACTAACTGCTCAAATTTTAAAGTGAAGTTGTTATGGCATTTCGAATTGGAGAAAGCAAGAAAACCTAACATAATCAAACAAGCAGTATTTCAAATAACAGCTGGGAACGTACCGACAGTTCTAAAAGAAAAGAAAAAGCGAAAAAAAAACCTAAACATGGGAAAAAATATTGGATTCTCTTTTGAAAAGCTTCATAGGGTGAGAATATTTGCGGCATGGTAAGTTACATGGCCATCATAAATAGTAACACATTTCTCAAGAAAACAATTCAACAAATAGGATTTAAAAAGAATTACATTGTACAAATATTTTTTTTACTAAATCTTCACACAATACAGCACCCAATAGCCACTAAATTTAGAGGAGGCTTACGGCCATATCACGTTGAAAGAACGGTTCCCGTACAATCATCGAATTTAAGCAACTTTGAGCCTGGTCAGTACCTAGGTGCGTGACCGATTCGGAATACCCGGATCTGTAAGCCTGGATGTCCAGGTAGGGAAATGGATAATGGTTCGGAATTGTTAATCGGAGAACCAAGTTCTAATTCCATTTGGGTTCCTTAAATACTCTTTGGAAATGTATGAATCCGTCTCTTATATCCCAGCTATGGGTTAATTAGTAAGACTATTACCACTCAATCATTATTATCTAAAAGAAATCTTGCAATCTGAAAATATTTTCTGACTCTAAAGAACCTGCAAAGTGTTGATAAGCCGTAAAAAACAAATGAATCAATCAAATTAGAGAGCTACTGAATAAGGTTCTCAAATAGACGTAAGAGAAGATAACAGTTGACTTTTACGACTAAATCATTATTATCTAAAGAAATCTTGCAATTTAAAAATATTTTATGGCTTTAAAGAACCTGCAAAGTGTTGATAAGCCGTAAAAAACAAATGAATCAATCAAATTAGAGAGCTACTGAATAAGGTTCTCAGATAGACGTAAGAGAAGATAACAGTTGACTTTTACGACTAAATCATTATTATCTAAAGAAACCTTGCAATTTAAAAATATTTTCTGGCTTTAAAGAACCTGCAAAGTGTTGATAAGCCGTAAAAAACAAATGAATCAATCAAATTAGAGAGCTACTGAATAAGGTTCTCAAATAGACGTAAGAGAAGATAACAGTTGACTTTTACGACTAAATCATTATTATCTAAAGAAATCTTGCAATTTAAAAATATTTTCTGGCTTTAAAGAATCTGCAAAGTGTTGATAAGCCGTAAAAAACAAATGAATCAATCAAATTAGAGAGCTACTGAATAAGGTTCTCAAATAGACGTAAAAAGATAACAGTTGACTTTACGAATAAATCATTATTATCTAAAGAAATCTTGCAATTTAAAAATATTTTCTGGCTTTAAAGAACCTGCAAAGTGTTGATAAGCCGTAAAAACAAAATGAATCAAATAGTTCTCAAATAGACGTAAGAGAAGATAACAGTTGACTTTTACGACTAAATCATTATTATCTAAAGAAATCTTGCAATTTAAAAATATTTTCTGGCTTTAAAGAACCTGCAAAGTGTTGATAAGCCGTAAAAAACAAATGAATCAATCAAATTAGAGAGCTACTGAATAAGGTTCTCAAATAGACGTAAGAGAAGATAACAGTTGACTTTTACGACTAAATCATTATTATCTAAAGAAATCTTGCAATTTAAAAATATTTTCTGGCTTTAAAGAACCTGCAAAGTGTTGATAAGCCGTGAAAAACAAATGAATCAATCAAGTTAGAGGGCTACTGAATAAGGTTGTCAAATGAGGAGATAACAGTTGATTCCAGATTTGAAGAGGTCAAAATTGTAGCGACATGAAAGCATGCTCTCTGGAATTATTCCACAAAGTAGCGATTCTCGGGAAAAAAAAACTTGTCTAAGTGAAACTTCCTCCTTACCAATGGAGTATGAAGAGAATCGGGTTTACTCAACCCAGTGTAGATGGTATGGTGCTTTCTTGTTGTAAATGTCTGAACTGGTAATCATAAGGAAAGTAACTCATTTGAACATTTGCTTGGAAATAGCGACAGAGCAACGATAGACGTACGACGTTGCAGACTGGAAAATCATTTAACCCTTACAAAGCAGCGTTAACATTTGCACAAACTTATATAAAATATAAGGAGAACTTGGACAACATGATGTCCAAATGATGGGCTTTGAATGTAACTATGGTCGTTTTTTAAAAGAAATCTATTTAAATTCTATTTTAAAACTATCAGTTATATAAACCAACGTACTTTGCAAAAAGCTTGGCCGAGAGAGGCGACGGGATGTTGATTAATGATATATAAAACCTTGTAATACAAAGTCACAGTGCAGAGGCGCTAAATGATTGATCATGTGCTATGAATGCAATCGACAAGTGAGGACCTCTTTAGAGTAGAAGCCGGATAGGGGACGTAGACGAAGGGCCAGTCCATTCAAGAATTGGAGGAAGACCGCAGGGGAAGACCTGGCTGAGATGGTTATGACCTGGAGGGAAGCTGCAAAACAAGACCAGGATTGTGTTCGATGGTGATCTCTTGCCGTTTCATAGGGAATGAGAGGAAGTAACTAACAACCCATGTTAAGGCTTTTAACGCAAATCCTTCATTTAAAGTGACGCCATCTTTTTTTTCTCTCCCGATATCTAAACTGTAATGATAAACTAAAATTACTCAAAGTGAACATTTCACTGAAATGTGAGGACAAATATGAAAATCTTCATCTGACATGAAGGAAATACGAACGGATTTTAAGAAAAACAGTCATAGTATATGGAAAAAATATTGCCAGTTTAAACTGACGCCATGAGTATACACTTTATATATTGCTGTAGTCATACAAAGGGCGATTATCTGCCTTTGGTGGAAATAAGTCACGTGGGTTACGAGACGACCGATTATTGACGAAAGCGGCAGTCAAGTTGAGTTTGTTTACAACATCCACCACATGAGGTTGTTTTCTTTTAGCCCGAACCAAAAAGTCCAGGGAGAGACTACATCTCACCCCGCCCCGCCAGCAGCTTACAAGCACATGGTGCCGTTTCCTTCGGGAATATATCTTTCCCAGATACAGAAAAAAACTCCAGCTCAATTTGGGAAAACCTGAGATTCGCTCTTTCCCATGCAATTCGTGCAATATGTCCTCGCCTGGGGCATAGATGAATCCGGCCCGTTTGAATCTGGAGTTTTAAACATCACTTCACCAGACCCAGAAATATCTCCATATTATATGTAAGACAATTCCTTTTTGTTTCTCTTTACACTCTGATCGCTGTGATATATTATTCTCAGCTTAGGGCATGTGTATATATGTATATATATAGTTTTATGTATGTCTCTGAGAACAAAGTGTGTTCGTCATTCTTTTTACTTTCAGATATTCCGTTCCGTTTATATTACAGATATATTAATACCTAAAGTATCGAGGGATGATGACGAGGAAACACACGTGTTATATTTAGCAAAACAAGATAAGGAACTTATTTACAAGTTTACACATTTGGAGTTTTCTGTAACTGGTTTCAGGAAAAGGAATCAAATATTTAAAGTTCGTAGATTCGGTAAATTGTCAAGAAGAGAAAATGTTCAGATTAAATCATCGGACATAAAAAGTAAAATTCCAAAATGTTTAAAACAAATTGAGAGAGTTCGTTTCTCACATAAAAGTTATAAGGTTGTATTCAACATGAATGACAAGATATATTTTAAGGTACTTATCTTTGGAATTGAATAAAGTTCTTTGAAATTGCCGCGCTCTCCTTAGAGGCTGATAATGTATCAGCGTGTAATTTGACACCGACGTTATTCAAATGTATAGAACTCTGCTTCTTTCTGCCTCTCTTGTAAGATTCAACTTTTTCTGCCTATTTATATGAAAAAGCGATTTGGCATCGGCTCATACTGAGCTCTTACGTGACATCTATCTTTCTTTACGGCAGCGAATTTTGGACGATTTCCTCAAAGATGAAGAAGAGACTTGAGGCGACGGACATGTGTTTCTACAGAAGGATACTAAGAATATCATGGACCGAGCATGTAAACAACGATGAGGTCTTAGAGAGTATGCAAACAAGGATAAGGGTTATACTTAACACCAGGAAGACGCAGCTGAAGTTTCTGGGACACATAATGAGGAAGGAGGGCATGGAGAATCTGATACTGGCAGTTCAAATAAAGGGAAAGAGAGACGAGGGAAAAAAGCATGACATACCTAGCGAGAAAGTGGATGACAGAACGTGGTCTGGGGGAGGTGGCAGAGGGAAGGAACTTGTTGAGAGCTGCCAGGGAAAGCGGGAAGCGGAGAGCCATGATCGCCTACGTCCTGAAAGGACATGGCACAGAAAGAAAGCCACTTCCTTTTCCATTGGTCAAAATATATTTTGACATAGGCTCGTTAAACTTTGCCTTGGTCTTTTCTTCAGACAGGAGCCAATCCCTTTTTCCATTGGTCAAAATAGATTTTCATATAGGCTCGTTAAACTTTGCCTTGGACTTTTCTTCAGCCCAGAGCCAATCCCTTTTTCCATTGGTCAAAATAGATTTTCATATAGGCTCGTTAAACTTTGCCTTGGTTTTTTTTTATTTCAGGCCAGAGCCATTCTTTTTTCCATTGGTCAAAATTAATTTTCACATAGGCTCGCAAATTTGAAATCAGTGAAGAAAAGAGAATTATTTTTATTTCGTATTCACCACATCTCCACAACGGGCGAAATACAAATGACAACTTATTTTCTCTCATATATCTAAAATAGAATTATGAACTAAAATTTTGGAAAGTAAAAATTCCACTAAAATGTTTTGAAAAAAATTGCCAAATTTAAGCAAAACGGTCGGAATATGTAGAAAAAAAAGGCGTAAGTTTAAACTGGCGCCATGAAGTTATTTGTTAATGTTGAATATCACATTTAGAGGACACCAATCGCAACGAATTCACAGGTAGTTATACATAGATCCGGTCTACATGAGAAACAGATACGGAATGCCTCGTCATGGCAACCCAGAATAAGTGCAAGTCAAAGCCGGAAATTGACAAAACGGAAAAGGCCTCTGCGAAGAAATTGATGAAACCGCAAACACATAAGTGAATATAACAGGCTGTTCTAGAAAGAATGAAAAAAACGCACGACAGAGTAGCAACAATCATACACTGGAAATTGTGCAAGCGGACTGGCATCGATTACTGAAATAAATAATATCAGAACAACCCAGAGGCTAAATTTAAAAATAAAAGCCATAAAACGTTTTTGGATTTATAGACCTGCCTATTTAGACATCTACCATATTCACGTCATCCAAGAATGAAGATCGGTTCACATAAAAATAGATCCTGCTGGATCGTGGACGTGAATGTGCCACTGAACCGCAGATTGACTTCGAAGAAGAATGAGAAATTGGAGAAATACCAGGATCTCGATCGAGAGCATGGAAAGATCTAGAATATGAAAGTGAGAGTTGTGCCTCTAATAGTAGGTGGGTGCATTTGGAAGCGTGCCAAAAAACCTGGCATGATTTGAAAAACCGCGGAAGGATTGAGACTGTACAAATCATGGAGTTGTTGGGATGGACGAGTAGAGTGCTGAACTTTTGAGATTTCCCGTTCACAAGAATTCTGGTGTAAACGAGGAATAATAATAATAATAATAATAATAATAATAATAATAATAATCCTGCGGAAATCAGCATTACTAGAAACTGTCAAGATCCTGCGAAAGGTGCTCTCTGTCAATGTGACTTGATGGAGAACTCCAATAATATATGGTCCAACGAAGCTCAACAGGTCTGTGGGGTGGGAGCCAGACGAAAGACACACCCTGGTTCTCTAGGTTGGGGGTTGTGCAGTAGGCTAACTACATACTCACTTAAAAACTAGCTTGTTACAGAAACCACAACGATATCTTCAAACAACGACATGGCTGAGGAAGAGTGCTCCAAAGTGGAGCGTATGACGCGTGTTGATAGAAATCCCCCGGGAAAGCCAGTGCACGGATAAATCTCCTGACGACTAAGTCAACAACCAGGATAGGGACCTGGAACATCAGAACCCTATACGAGTCCAGCAAAATAGCACCGGTTTAAGAAACGGAAATGGGGATGAATCGGCCACACACTCCGCAAGCCTGCTTCACGTGTCACCAGATAGGCCCTTGACTGGAATCCATAAGGGAAGCGATAAGTGGGTCGATCAAAACACGGCACAACATGGGCCAAGCTGAAGAGGATCACCCGGAACTGTGTCCTTTGCAGAAGCGTTGTTACGCACCTATGTTCCCCAAGGAATCAAGAGGAATAATAGTAATCATTATAATATAGGACCTCTTCGAAGTAGGAATAATAATAATAATATTCCTACGGAAATCAGCATTACTAGAAACTGTAAACATCATGCGAAAGGTGCTCTCTATCAAAGCGACTTGATGGGGAACACCAATAATATATGACCTTGTGTATTATTTAATACTGTTCTAAGTAGAAATAATAAGAATAATAGAGATAGAACCTGTAACAATTTTATGGGACTTTATTATACACACAGACAGAACAATCAAATCTAATCACTCAGACATCGTGATCAAAGAACACAAGAACAGAATGTGCTTTCTTATTGACACGGAATTCCCTGCAGAATGTAATGTATCTTTGATGATCTTCAAACATTATCATAATACAAGGATCTTGAAGTGTAAATCTAAAAAATGTGGAGAATGAGAACATCAGTAATTCCTGTTGTAATTGAAGCCCTCGGATTGATTGGAAAAGTGATTCCTGGTAGTTCATGCTTACAAAATTACAAATTACAAAAAATGCTACTCACAAGCACAGCTTACAGATTACGAAGAGGTTTATCTATATAAAATCTGTGTGATCTTAAATTTTCGTTTTTTTTTTTTTTTACAAAAAATGATCAGATGCAATGAAGCCATTTCTGAACATAGGTCTCTGGTTGGAACCGGGAAGAAATGAAGAAATAATAATAATAATAATAATAATAATAAATACTGTTATTATCATTGCAAAACGATATATAAATTTATATATATCAAAAACAACTGTACGGAAAATACTATGACAAAGCGGAAAAAAACTCTGTGTGACACGTCCAGTCCCGTCTTTCAGGACTCCATTGGACCAAAGTGATGCCTACACAAACGCAACGGCATACACGTGCAAAGGAGAAGGAAAGTTTAATTATTAAAAAGAAATAGTATACGAGAATTTCAAATTCAAATTCTACTTTTTTAAAAAGTCACAACAATTGATTTCTAAATACATGCTTCAGACACACCACAATCTCTCCGAATGAATTTGAACTTGACGTGTCAGGTATGCGCGTGTAGAAGGAATGAGAGACTAAGTGAAATTGGATGGACGCATCGGCGTGGACATCATTTTGCCCTGATAGGATCCTGGAGGACAGGACGTGTAACACGTTTTTGCTTTTCACTTTGTCGTAGGATTCCCTAAAATTATTATTATTATTGCTGTTGTTGTTGGCGTTGTTGTTGTTGTATTGGTCTCCGACGATGATAGATCGTTAAAAGCCTGGACGAGTGCTATGGAGGTCTTTGGCTATCCATACGTCAAGATCTCCTTGTCAGAGCTGAAAGTAGATTCCAAAGGAAATAGTCAACAAACACAGTTTGATATTGGCGCAACTGCAGGAATTTCTTGGAAGACTAGCCTAGAAGCCGCCCTTCGAGCGGACTTGAAGCTAGTTCCTGCGGAGGGCTTTTGGGTTTTCGGCCTTTTACCTCCAGGGTCCTGTGTACGTAAGTTATAAGAATTTAGAAATAATACAGTTATTTTATCTTTATCTGAAACCATAATTCGGCATAATCTTTCTTCGTATATGCAATCGATCTTCGTAGTTTGTTTACTTTTATTTTGCGCGTAATTTTTATTTTCTTTTAAAATCACCATTGTTCATGATCCCTTCATATAAAGTCACGCTTAAATGATATTACGGAACCCGGTCTATGTAATATTTCGAATACATCAGAATACGCGTACTAAAAAAAGAAAAGAAAAAAACATATGAGCAACGTACCGTGCCCCGCTTATGTTTTAATTACAGCTTAATTAGACGATATCAATTGCAATTCCGATGCAAAGCGAAATTAAAGTTAAACCTTTAATAAAGAATTGTTTTTTTTAAAAACCTTTTACTCTGTTCGATATTTAAATTTATCTTTAAATAATTTATATATTTAATTTTTCATCACGTGTAACTACAGTAGTTACTACCTGTTACTTCACGTTGTTTATGATTCGCCGAGATCAAAACACGGGCGGGCAGACGGACAGACGTACACTGCGCTATATTATTAGAAAATATAGATATAGATAGATATAGATAGGAGAAGTTTAATTTGAAGAAATAGTCTTCAGGCGGACTTTAGGCTACTAAAAGATAATAATGCTGTAAATAATTGATGAATACTAATAATTCTATTGTTCTATTTATTCGACGCGCATCGAAAAACGGACGGATACACGTACACTGCGCTTCATTGTAATAGATGATGAAGTACGCTATCCAATCGCTGCCGGATCTCCGCTCTGGTTTTGCGTAGATTTTAATCCAATCTAAACTCATCCCCGGAAGATATCCATAAATAAGCAGAGGTTAGAGTACAGTACTTTTATTCTCCTAGACTGATTGCTAATCAAGGTAAGGGATGTTATTCGATTTTGTACGAAAATCAGCCCATATATTTTTTTCAAGAGCATTAATGTGAACAGAAGGATACTGTGAATTTCATGGACGAAGCACGTAAGTGAAATTTGAAGAAAATGATGAAAAAAAAAAGAAAAAAAGAAAGAAAAGAAAACTTATTATCAGAATCAGAAATTGAAATAAATCATCACTTGTAGGTGTTTATGTGCCACAAATTATAAAAGAGATGTCAAAAGGAAAAGAACAAAGAACAATGAACGACAATGTAACAAGGAAAGATGTCGGAAATTCATGATGAAGAGTTGTCACATTGTTTCCGGCTCTTTTTCTGCAACACTGTTCTAATTTGAAGAAATAAAAATAATAATAATAATAATAATAATAATAAAGCTGAAAAATAGGCGGATAATACCAAAAGAAAGATGTCTTTAAAACCGCGAAAGAAACGTTAAAACGGAAAAGATCTGTAAAGATCGATAACGTGGAAACATTTCTGATCTAACAAGCGCGACAACATCATTATTTGAAAATCGATCAGGTAAAAACAACGCCATAATAATAATAATAAACCGATAACGAATAATACTAATATAATTACTACTACTACTACTACTACTAGTGCTGCTGCTGCTGCTGCTACTAGTAATGATGATGATGATAATGGTGTCAACAATGGTAGTGATATCGATTGAAAAAGGCGAGAGATGTAAAGATAATGGAAAATGGAAAGGTGTGTGGGAAGAATGAAAGGATAAAAATCAAATTAAAGCCGACAAACGATAGACAGATAGATAGAGAGATAAAGAAAGAAAGAAAGAAAGAAAGAAATGGAAAAGAAAGCAAGAAAGATAACTTATAACGCCATTGATTTTCTTTTTTTTTCTTTTTTGGATATTTTTCCCGCATTATTTTCCTCTTTACATTTTTACGTGTTTGAATGATGTAAGTAAACAGAGAGTAAAAAAGATTGATAGAGAGAATGTCTGGAAATGTCCGCGACTGTCTGGGCAGGGAAAATAATCGATAAATGAAGCAAAAGAGGTTGTTGGAGTTGGGTGACAGGAAAAGAAGGCCGGAGACGAGGAAGAAGTCGGAGAGAAAAGCGAATAAGAATATAGACACTCATTAGAGAGAGGGAACAGGTTGGAAGAAGAATGGGAAGAGTGTAACATAGAGTGGGAGGTGTAGGAGAAAGAGTAGAGGAAGAGAGAAAATAAAATGAGGAAGATGAAAATCAGGGTGACTGGAGAGGAAGAAAGTCAAAAGAAAGAATAAAAAAGAGATAGAGGGAGAGAAGAGGGAGAGAGAAAGAGAGAGAGGCATAAGAAGAGCAGACTGATAACGAGAGGGATGTAAAAAATGGAAGAAGAAGAAAACGAAAAAGAAGGAGTAGAAGATATCACATGGAAATATGACAGTGAAAAGAAGACATAAGGGTGAGAGAGAGCATCAGAAAAAGAGAAAGAGTTGAATAATAATGAGAGGGTTGTAAAAATAGGAGGAAGAGGAGGAGGAAGAGGAGAAGAAGTTATGACAATAAAACGTATACATAAGCGTAATGAGAGAGAGAGAGAAAGAGAGAGAGAGTGAGAGTGAGGAGCAACAAAGGGGAAAGAGAAGGAAAGATAATGTGAAAAATGAATAATAATAATAATAATAATGAGAAGAAGAAGAAGAAGAAGAAGAAGATAAAGACATCACGTGGAAATATGGCAGGGAGATAAAGACACAGAGTGAAATAAAAATGGACAGAGATTGATAGAATAAGACAAAGTGTGAAGACGCAGTAAGTGACTGACAAGTAGAAAAGTAGATGATCGCTAATAATGTCTAATGAAAATGAAAGATGTCAGGGAAGAGGGAGAATAAACGTGGGGGATAGAAAAATGAGGGTGCAAAAGAGAATTGAAAGGGGAGACAAACAAAATGAGAGAGAAAAGCGAAGAGAAAAGAAACAGAGCAGAAGAGAGGGGCGTGAAAATATGAGAGTGAAAGGAAGACATAAGCATGAGAGACAGAGAAAGAGTTGAATGTTATCGAGAGAGACGTGAAAAATGGAAGAAGAAGAAGAAGAAGAAGAAGAAGCGTTATAATAGAATGAAAAAGAAAGTAAAAATGACAGGAAAATCGAGAAGAAAGAAAGAAAGAAAGAAAGAAAGAAAGAAAGAAAGAAAGGAAGAAGCGAGACGTTAGGAAAATCTAGAAGTCTTGAAAAAAAGAAAACGAAGAAGAGACATATTGAAGAAGTCTTGAGGGAGTCTAAAATAAAGCAAGAAAGAAAGAAAGAAAGAAAGAAAGAAAGAAAAAAGAAAAAGAAAGGATGAAAGAAAGAAAGAACAAAGGAAAGGCATTGAGGGAGTCTAAAATAAAGACAGACAGACAGCAAGAAAGAAAGAAAGAAAGAAAGAAAAGGCAAAGTGGAAAAAATTAGAAGAAAAAATAGTCTGGAAATGAGCGGGTAGATGTAACAATGAAGAATTTGTTTTGTCTACAAATGTCACAATTGAACCTAAGTTGATGTACTTAAAATCAAATATAGGTCTATGTCAGCCAGACAAATTTCATGGGTGCGTCTTTAATGTGTGCGTGTATGCGTGTGTCTAAAAAATATATCCTCGTTCATCTCCCTTTCATTTATGCTCATTCGCACCGTTTGCTACTAAGGTACCGGATGTAGTAAATCCGGGACGAAACGAGAAAGGCTACAAACACCAGTTTATCCACATCCCTCTGACCATTGTAAGATTTCACTTAAGTTTATTTACTAGTCTCACTGTTGATGCGAGTAAAACGATATATTAGCTATTTTGACTTCATCTCTCTCTCTCTCCCTCCCTTTCCCTCCCTCTCCCCCCTCTCTCTATATATATATATATAAAGAAAACGCAAAACCACTGCCCGCTTGTATAGCAAATACACGCACGAAGGTATTTCTTCTGTTTATAAACGAAGCGTATGATCCACGCTGTGAAATACCAGAGATCTTAATTAAATTTAATCAAGAACCTTGAGCTAAGAAAATTTGATCTGTGGTGACCCCAGTGTATATGATGTTCGCCCTAAGAGATATCAAAACAAAATATATTGTTGTTATCAAAAAGGATGATCGCAAAATGCAGATTACAAACTGGGGATGCCAAAATCAAACAAGTACAAAAATTTAAATATCTGGAAAGTTGTTTAATAGAGGACGGAAAGTGCGGCAGTGAAATCCGAAGGAGCATTGGGATGGGCAAAATGCCTTCCAAAAGCTAAGCAGAGTAAGTAGAAAACCGAAAAAAATCCTTAGAAACCAAGAAAAGAGCACAGAACTGTTATGCTGTATCAATCATCCTATATGGCAGTGAATGCTAGGCAAAGATGAACAAGAGACTTGAAGCAACATTAATATGTTTCTATAGATGAATGCTGAGGATGCCATGGACTGAACATGTGAGCAAGATCTAGGAGCCTCGAGATGTGACTTAGAAATAAAAGCCGACAAGTGCAGAATCGAGCCTCAAAGGATGTCGGTGGGTCATTTCATCATTATGCCTCTTGATTCCTTAGGGAACATAGAAGCCGCAACAACACTTCTCCAGTGGATATGGTTCCGGGCGATCCTCTTCAGCTCGATCCTCGTGCCGGCTGCCTTCCCGGGGCATTTTCACCAGCACGCGTCATAGGCTCCACTTTAGAGGAATCTTTCTCGACCATGTCGTTGTTTGAAGATATAGTTGAGGCTTCTGTAACAAGCTAGTTTTAAGTTGTTAGCCTAGTGCATAACCCCCAACCTGGGAGACCAGGGCGTTGGATTCCCAACAAGTTTAGTTTTTTGTGCCTACTGCACAACCCCCAAACTGAAGGAAGAGGCTGTGTCTTTCGTCAGGCTCCTACCCCACAGATCTGTTGAACTTGGTTGAACCTCCTATAGGCCGAAGGCCCCGCCCACATAGCTCTGAGGGTCGTTAAAGCACGCGAGCCGTCCTACCACGTCAAGCCGACACACCATCGGATGTTTGTGGGTGCCTCAACATCAACAAGGAACTTAACCCAGATATCCACACACTGGATGACGGGAGATTATATAAATGCTTGACCTGCGAATAGAAATACATCCCGACAAGAAAAAGATCGAACTTTCGAAGAAAGACCCCAAATCGCATACCCTTGACTCTAATTTGACGGGATCCAGAAATGTGTAATTATTTTACTTATGAAAAATTTAATCTCGCGTTTTTATCAGTCCTTACTAACATAATAGTAAACGCAGTAAGAAGAAAAACAAAAAACAAAAACGGCTTGATGGAATTCGTTAGCCTGTGATGGAGGACTATCTAAGAAAAGGGAAATTCTGATTTAAAAAGTTCTCTTAACTTGTGACCGGAAGGATGTGGCAAATGGATCTCCTTTGCCATAGTGAGGGCAATCTGTCAAGAAGAAAGAAAATCCTCGATATAAAAACCATATCGTAACGACATAAATTTCGGCTTGCTAGCTGTCACGAATAATTTCAATTTATGGAGTCGGGAAACCTTTTTCAAGCCCGTGAGTATAAATCTTTCCAATTCTTGGGATATGACACCCTCTTCCAAGTTGGCATAAGCTAGCACGGAAGAGTTGACTGATAAAAGTAACACGAGAACAATAAACCAATGATTTCTACATCAGATGCGGTCGCCTCAGGACCTTTGCCATGCGATCAGGAGAGTGGATCAGATGCGCCTAACTGTTGTGACAGCGGCGATCAGGATATCACTCCAACGACCTGGGGTGTTACATGCAACCAGAAGAAAAATTAAATACGACTTCTCAAAGCCAGGCTCTTTAGAGATGATTATTTCATGTTAGATAGAGACAGCGAAAAGATATATAGCATATATTGCGGTTTAGCTTGGCTTGGCCTGGATTGTCCCGGTTTTAAGGATCTTTCCCGGTTTGATATAAGCTATCAGTATTCATTTGTGTGTGTCTTTTTGTGCGTGGCCAGATGAAAACATTCTCAGAACCAAACACTTCGGAGAAAACTATCTCATGTCAGTGCGCAACCAACCGTAGCGAAAAGATGGACAGAATGGAAATAATATTTCTTTATTATTTTTTTCGAATATTTTCTACATTTATTATTAAAAGTATCATGTTATACCTATGCTTGTTGCTAAGTTATTTAGTTACTTTCCTTGTTAGCGTGTAAGTTACGCCCTGTCAACACCTAATGAATAATGGACTATTCCGATTTGATTGAAAGAAAAGACGTAAAAAACATACCAGAAACGCCGTTTGGTTTCAGTGGGCAAAAGAAAGAAGATAATGCTCTTATGCGTTTAATGTCTGCTTCAATGACATAGAAAAGCGTGTCAATGCCAAATAGTTTCATTTCTACCACTGTTGCTTCTTTAAATAATGACCTGTATTCATACTTATGGTGGTGTTTTTCTAAGCATCATCTAGAAGTGGCACAAAGCCGAAGATCGAACTCACTACACAGTCGTAATTGATTTAGCGAGACAAGTTTGTTAACCATTACACCACGTCGAGGTACCCAAATAATTTATTGTAATTTTCTAAGCGTAGCTTAGCTGTGGCATAAAACTGAATGTATAGGCACCCATAGTTGTAATTGATCTAGCGAGAGAAGCTTGTTAACCATTACACGACATCACGATGCACCACCCCCGCATTCAAACTTATGGTGATTTTCTAAGTGTAGCATAGATGTGGAACAAAGCCTTAAGTATAGGACACCCAGTGAGGTTCCAACTCAATACTCAGTCGTAATTGTTCTAGCGAGACGATCTTGTTAACCATTACATCACGTAGAGGTGCCCTCTGCATTCAGACTTAGTGATTTTATAAGCGTAGCTTAGATGTGACGCAAGGCCGAAAGTTTAGGACATTCAGTGATGATCGAACTCACTACTCAAGCTTGTTAACCATTACACCACGTCGAGGTGTCCTCTGCTTTCAGACTTATGACCGTCATTTTAATATTTTGTTAAAATTATTAAGCTCAAATATTTAAGGATGTAATACATAAATTTTCACTGCTATTTTATAGTCTTGGGGTATTATTAGTAAAACTTATTCATCGTCTGAAAGACTGATTCATTTTTTTAATAGACTAAAACCATGGCATATTGGGGTTAGAGTTACATAACACATTTTATGAACTTTAATTTTGTTCATCATACCCTCGATAAAGTTGGTGTATCAGTGTTGGATAATGGTTAACGAGCCTAGTTTGTACTACTGCCTTAATGTAGTTAGATTCAGTCACAGGACCCAAAGAGTGTGAGTTCAATACCCAGTTAAGGCAGTGGAGAAGTGAGAGATAACTGACAAGTGACATCCATTAAACATGGCATGTTGAACTAGAACAGTCTACCCCAGAATGTGAAATACAGGGTAGAGTACGACATTCCAACCATCTGAAGAAGGCCGGAGTGTAATAAATATGGCGACAAAGATGAAGACAATAGTCCGAATAATGTAAATAGTGTACATTATACCTCATCTCAGAAATATAGACAGATACTGAAGGGCCGAAACGTTGTAATAAATATGGCGACAAAGATGAGGACAATAGTCCGAATAATGTAAATAGTGTACATAATACTTCATCTCAAAAATATAGACAGATACTGAAAGGACGAGACGGTGTAATAAATATGGCGACAAAGATGAGGACAATAGTCCGAATAATGTAATTAGTGTACATAAGACCTCATCTCAAAAATATAGATAGATACTGAAGGGCCTAAACGTTTAGTAATAAATGACAAAGTTGGGACAATAGTTTTATCCATAATACCTCATCTCAGAAATATAAACAGATTGAAGGCTTAAACGTTGTAATAAATATGGCAACAAAAGATGAACCCAATATTTAATAATCCTAGTGATAACTCATTTCAAAATATAGATAATACAACAAACTGTTGGTAAGTTTTATCCTCAAATTCCGCTTATAAACTTTGGCTTACATGTCTAAACTCAATGAACCCTAAATTTATTTCCTACCCGATAACTAGAAATGACGAAACAACAAACAAAATCCGCGTCCCCATTGGGTAAGACAGTACCCGTCATTGGGTAAGACGGTAAACATCCGCGTCCTGGGTAAGACGATAAACTACATCCGCGTCCTGGGTAAGACGATAAACTACATCCGCGTCCTGGGTAAGACGGTAAACTACATCCGCGTCCTGGGTAAGACGATAAACTACATCCGCGTCCTGGGTAAGACGATAAACTACATCCGCGTCCTGGGTAAGACGGTAAACTACATCCGCGTCCTGGGTAAGACGATAAACTACATCCGCGTCCTGGGTAAGACGGTAAACTACATCCGCGTCCTGGGTAAGACGGTAAACTACATAATAATAATTGTAATTATCCTCAAATCCTTCTAATTTCTATCACTTGTATATCTTTGCTTGAACTGGCTTCTAATGCTTTGGATGGG